CAAGATTCTTAAAACCCAGAGCCCTATTTTGAGGCAAGTGAAGCAACATACATTGCCATCTCAAGATGGTGACCCTAAAGATTTATTCAGAGAATGTCTGCCATTGCTTTTTGTGGGTGAGTGATACGACTTGCCAAGACCACCCAGTAGGTTTCCATGGCTGTATGGCATCCCAGTTTCCTCGACCAACGCTCAGACCATTATACAGTGCTGCCTGAAAACGGGAGCCATGCATTAAGCTGATTCTAAACAATGCTTCAATTGCACCACATTTTTTTGGTTGTGTCAGGAGCAACTTGAGAAACGCTTCTGGTGTGAGAGAATTGGCTGTCTGCAAGGACATTGCTCAGGGGACGCCCGGATGTTTTTTGATGTTTTATCATCCTTGTGGGAGACTTCTCTCGTGTCCCCGCATGAGGAGCTGGAAATGATAGAGGGAGCTCATCTGCGCTCTCCCCGGATTCGAACCTGCGACCTTGCACCATAGAAAAAAGACAATTAGTTGCATAATATCTACAGGCGAGATAAATCCACATTAATATGGAAAGGAATGTCCATATTATGCCAAAGAAGGAAATCAGATTGACTTGAAGTCTGTACAAAAAGTATCTATTAGGAAATCTCTTGAATTAAAATATGCAGAATGACACTGCCAGTTCAGACACAAATTGGTTCCATTTTTGGCTAGCCAAGTGTTTCCCTTCTATGATGAGCTTGGCTTGGAAAAATCTGAAGATGACTAGACTGGTCAAAAGAACAGTTTTGCAAAATATTTTCTCCTTAATGTCCTTCCACTAAATGTACAGTGGAACCTCGACTTAAGAACATCCCAACTTAAGAGCCACCACTTTGCCTTATTTTGCTTTGTCATATGAGCAGCATTCTGAGTTAAGAGCTAGTGCCAGAGGGAGCGCTAGTGTGAGACTACAGCACTTTAGTGCTTCAAGGAAGCAGCCTCCATGCCTTGTGCTCTTCTCCACTTTGGGAAATTGCTGTCTCCTTTGGTCTTGTCTGCTTTGAGGAACTTTGGGGTAGTTGATTTTGTTTGGTTTTTATTCCTGTTTTTATTCGTGAAGAGAGAGAAGGAGAGGGAGCAAGAGAGGGAGGGAGGCTGGAATGAGTACAGTACGAAGAAAATGATGCCTCTGCCTCTTCACTTTGTGCTTCCTTGCCACAACTTTGTGCTTCTACCATTTTAAAGTTGGTATTTCTTTTTTATTGTTCTATGTGAGTGTACATTTATACATTATTTGTTATTTATAAAGTATCTTTTCATATTTAAAAACATGTAACAAAATGGGAGGAGGGGTTGTGTGCTGGAATGGATTAATAGCATTACAATGGGAAATTCTGCTTTGAGATAGGAGCAGTTTGAGTTAAGAGCACCGTAATGGAATGAATTAAACTCTCAACCCAAGGTATCACTATACATGAGTTTTGCTTAGAGAGAGTTAATTAGAGATTTTAATATAGGATAATACAAAGTCTAGACTGCTTGGTCAACCCTTCCCTGAAATAATGGAAAGCCATTAATTCAACTTGTGCTACAACAGGATGGAAATACATAGGACAGGGTCCTAGCTATCTATCTCAAGAGTGAGCAAGTAGGAACAGCAAGAGACAAAAGTGAAGGTAGATATGCCTACCTTACCAACTTTTTCAGCATGTTAAAAAAGTCTGGCCACCAAAATGGAAATTGTAAGAAAAGTAGAAGGTGTTAAAAGAAAAACTCATGAGGCATTTGAAAGAAACAACGGAAGTGGTCCAAATGTTTTTGATTTGTTATGCAAGGCTTACCTGAAATGGTTGTGCCATTTAACATGCGCATATTGTTAATGTTGAAGGAAAAGTTTGCTGAAACATGTTGAACTGCTTTTTTGTGAAGGAACTTATGCCTATTATTTCCATGTCATTTCTGTTTCTGGTACCAAATCTCTGTTAAAGGTATATTAACTATTTCATCTGAACTGTAGCTTTATGTCTTTTGCCTCTGGCATTGGCTGGTGGATTTTGGGATTCTGGGTTTAAAAAAACCAAAACATTTGACTAAACCAGTGGTTCTCAACCTTCCTAATGCCACAACCCCTTAATACAGTTCCTCATATTGTGGTGACCCCCAACCATAACATTATTTTCGTTGCTACTTCACAATTGTAATTTTGCTACTGTTATGAATCATAAGGTAAATACGCGATATGCATGATGTATTTTCATTCACTGGACCAAATTTGGCACAAATACTCAATATGTCCAAATTTGAACACTGGTGGGATTGGGTTGATTTTGGAGTTGTAGTTGCTGGAATTTATAGTTCACCTACAATCAAAGAGCATTCTGAACTCCACCAACGAAGGAATTGAACCAAACTTGTCACACAGAACTTCCATGATCAACAGAAAATACTGGGTTGGTTGACATTGACCTTGAGTTCTGGAGTTGTAGTTCACCTACATCCAGAGAGCACTGTGGAGTCAAACAATGATGGATCTGGACCAAACTTGGCACTGATGGATTTTAGGGAAAACAGATCCTCAAACAGCATTCTGAACTCAACCAACGAGGGAACTGGACCAAATTTCCTACACAGAACCCCTGTGACTAAGAGAAAATACTGGCAACCCTTCTGATATCCCCTTGCAACCCGACCCCCAGATTGAATAGACGTTAGCCTTTCTATGCCTGATGTAGAAATGTCATTGTTTAATGTAGCTACTAATACTGATATTATTTATTTATTTACTTCATTTATATACCGCTTTTCTCAGTCCTTATTAGAACTGACAAAGGAGTTTATGAACTTTTTGGCCCATTTAAGTCCTAAGACTTTCAGCCAGTCTTAAGGGGAAAGGACAATTTAAGGAGGAAAACAGTGGCTTCCGTGAGGGTGAAGACAAACTGGCTGTTCTGTCTGAGCAGGATAAGCAAGCAACAGGGTTGCATCAACAATGCTATTATCTAGAGCAGTGTTTCTCAAACTGTGCTCCTTCAGGTGTTTTGGAGTTTAGCTGCCAGAAATATTGTGGGAGCTGAAGTTCAAAACATCAAGAGGAGCACAGTTTGAGAAACTCTGATCTAGAAGATAGCACTGTTCATAAGCTATCATAGAATCAAAGAGTTGGAAGAGACCTCATGGGCCATCCAGTCCAACCCCCTGCCAAGAAGCAGGAATATTGCATTCAAATCACCCCTGACAGATGTTGAATATTGCATTCAAATCACCCCTGATCCAGCCTCTGTTTAAAAGCTTCCAAAGAAGGAGCCTCCACCACGCTCCGGGGCAGAGAGTTCCACTGCTGAACGGCTCTCACAGTCAGGAAGTTCTTCCTCATGTTCGGATGGAATCTCCTCTCTATAACAGTATCCATGATTAGGAATCTCTATCTGTGGAATGGGATGATTTGATACGTCTATACAACTGTTCTAATTATGCATACAAAGAAAAAAAAACATTGCAACCCTCTTATCCATATATTTGCTATCCACATTTGATATATCTATGATCCAAAAGTATTCTCCCCAAGAAGTATTTGTGGGCCTCTCCAGGTCCTCCAGTGTATGGTCTGCCTCTGGCATGAGCACAGTCAAAATACAGAATTACTATTATCCATGGTTTCATGTATCCACAACGTCTTGGAATGTATCACTTGTGAACTGAGATTGTGGACAGGAACCTCTTTTTAAGTGAGTATCTTATAACAGCAAACTGATAGCAAATTAGGAGCACAAGAACTGTACTTCACTGTGAGTGAAAATTCAAGAACACATCTCTTTTAAGGTCCTTTGTACTCTCACAAGTAAGTTGGGGACAGTGACAACCTCTCACAAGGACTCTCTTCACACTTCCATTTTCCTTTCTTGTTATCTTAAAGAGATTACATGGCACATTTAAGCAATATTCGGCACTAAATTAACCTACACTACTTGGGCTATATTAACTTGATGAAACGGTTTTATGTACATCACACTTCTGACCCTATCAAGAAACGTAGTTATCACAGCGTGATAAGGATACTATACCTTATTGAACTCATTCTAAAAACAACATCAGCAATGTTGCAAATTGGCTTTTAAAATGACCTCAGTTGATACCAAAAAGGTAGCATGGCTTGTTATCAGACTTCATGCATATTTAAGTTAGACCAGGAACAATTCATTAGAAAATTTCACTACACAAGGTTGCATTAAAATGAACGAGAACTCTAATACAGCTCAGGGGTGGTTTCACCAGTTCTTTCTTCTGAAATATAGTCCAGAGCAGTGGTTCCCAACCTTTTTTTGACCAGGGACCACTTGGACCAGGGACCACTCTCCAACATTAGTACCAAAAGGGTTATGAATCAGTTTTTTGTCAACTTTAGATTTAGTTATTTGGGGTGCCGATTCAGAAAATTGCATTGGATAGATCACATCAGCTCTAGTTTCTGATACAGAACATATGCCATCCAGTAATCACCATCCGCTTGCCCACAGAAAACCATATTTAGTAAGCCTCAGCTCCATAAGATGGTTTTACAAGACCAGTCACCCTTGTTGCAATGCTGTAGTAATGGTGAGGACATGGACCATATTTTAGTTCTTGTGGACCACAGGTTGGGAACCACAGGTCTACAGCAACTGGTATTTTTTAGCAGTTTCACATCCAAGAAATAACCAGGGCTGGCTCAGCTTAGCTTCTAAGATGAGACAGGCACTGAGGTCTTTAAGATAGTGGGTTTTTCTTTTTTGCCCTATTAGAGTTTCCTTTTTTTTGAAACACTTGCTGTGCTTTGAAAAAATTATCTGTGGCCCTGAGCATGCCTGTGACTCCTCCTTGTTTCTCCGTGGCCTCATTTTGGTTCCATTCCCATCAGCATTCACAATATGAATTTGCTAATAACATTATCACCTTCCACTTCTGGCAAACCCTTTTATTCCATTTGCAGAAAAGATACTTCTCAGTATTCCGAAAATATTAAATACAGAACCCTGTACTTTTAATGATTCAAATACATAAAAGGAAATAGAGGATATAAAATGTGCCATTTATTCACAGGAATAGCTAAAAATGGTTACAGAAAGCTTTTCTAAGAACACATACTTATTTTACATCAGAATTCACAAAACAAAGGAGATAATGCTGTGTCCAAATCAGACACCAGATTCCTTTTCACACCTTGTAAGTGATATATTTTGGGACACCAGCTCCTCCAGAGCCAGAACATTTGTGCATTTTCCAAGCTGGCTCTGGCTTGCTTTACATTCATTTCATCTCCTTGCCTTTTTCTCTCTCAGAATCTTTTTGCTTTCCTCCCGTCTTCTCTTGTTCACTGGGTTCCGGGGATCATAAATTTCAAAAGTGTCTTCGTCTTGCACACTTGCATCTTTTACTTTTCTGGTTTTGTCCTCAAAATGGAGCACATGGGACATCCTGTTAGGGGGTGGGGGGACAAAGATCAGTTCAAATAATGGTTGGTTATAGATGTTTTCCACATTTAAGTTTTAACATTTTTAAAGGATAGCTATGATACTACGCAGCAACCATCATATGCACGCCAGTATCCAAAATACCAGTGTTAAAGATTGATTTTTTAAAGAGAGAGAGAGAGAGAGAGTTTGTTTTTAGTTCTTTAGCCCCGAGATAATTCTGATGCAGGATGTATTACTGAATAATACACAGTCAATTCCAAAATATAATCAGTGTGATTCAGTAGATAAATAACTCAGATGACAAAACATTTTTGTGATGCCATAGGCTAGTAGCAACAATCATTAGGAGAGCTTGTCTTCCTGGAAATACTGAATAATAAACAAATGTATCCTCAGTCTCTATTCAATACATAGGCGTGGTGAGCTCTTATACTGCTGTCATATTTTATGTTCATTTTAACTGTATGGCTTCATGTTCTATCTTGTATTCCAATTGTTTTTGTTTTTATTTTTCATATGCTTCTGACTTATGTATTATAAATTGGCATATATGTTTTTTTTTAAATCTTATTCTGGGTTGCTGTTTGTTTCCAGGCTGTATGGCCATGTTCCAGTAGCATTCTCTCCTGATATTTTGCCCACATCTATGGCAGGCATCCCCTGAGGTTGTGAATTCTGTTGAAACTGGGCAAGTGGAGTTTATATATCTGTGGAATTATGTCCAGGGTGGGAGAAAGAACTCTTGTCTGTTTGAGGCAAGTGTGAATGTTGTAATTGGCCACCTTGGTTAGCATTTAATGGCCCTGCAAGTTCAAAACCTAGCTGCTTCCTGCCTGGAGGAATCCTTTTGGGAGCTGGCCCTGATTGTTTCCTGCCTGGAATTCCCCTGTTTTTTGAGTGTTGCTCTTTATTTACTGTCCTGATTTTAGAGGGTTTTTTTAAAAAAAAAAAATACTAGTGGCCAGATTTTGTTCATTTTCATGGTTTCCTCCTTTCTGTTGTAATTGTCCACATGCTTGTGGATTTCAATGGCTTCTCTGTGTAGTCTGACATGGTGGTTGTTAGGGTGGTCCAGCATTTCTGTGTTCTCAATCTTATTCTGCTGATCAAAGCTTCCAGCAAAACATGTTGACTATTTTACTGTTTTGTTCAAGTTCTATGCATATATTTTGCCAATCTAGCAGTTTAAAAACATGCAAATGTGAATAGTAGTAGTAGTAGTAGTAGTAGTAATAATAATAATAATAATAATAATAATAATATCTTTATTTTGTATCCCACCACCATGTCCCCGAAGGGACTCGGGGCACCTTACACAAGGCAACAGGTGCCTAAAACAAGACATGACATAACACAATATAAAATACAATTGAATAAAACAAATAAACAACAACATAAACTCAAAATAAAACAGTGCACATCTGACAGTGGCGATAGCTAATTTAAACATGGCCAGACTGTAAACAATAGGGCCAAGGAATGGGAAAGTACAGAGCTGTACAGAGTAGACAAATAGGTATCGCTTCGGCAGGAAGGTAACAGTGCTTCATGCAGTTATGCCGGCCACATGACTCAGGAGATGTCTATGGACAAAGCTGGCTATTCACCTTAGAAATGGAGATGAGCCCTACTCCACAGAGTCGGACTTGACTAGGCTAAATGTTAAGGGGAAACCTTTACCTTTATGTATATATTTTAGTACAATTTTGAGACATGTCTAGATGGATATTACAAAATATACCTACATGAAGCAGGATGATAGACCCACAAAGTTAGCCCACATTTATGGGTATTAATACTTATGCGGTAGTAAAGGACACTTTAGCTCTCCTTGAGTCATTTTGTAGCATCTTTCAGTGTACTTGGGATCTTGTTGGGATTAGAAAATATCTACCAATACAATTTAAGAGATAAAAGTCACTCCAAAGAATCTCTGAGAGCAACAAGAAACTACTTGTATCAGAGATTGAACAAATGCCTTTATCCTTTTATCAAAAAGGAATGTCCATAACTTCCTTCTTAATCGCATTGTGTGTTCAAGTATGCAGTAAAAACTCATCTCTTGGCATAAAGTATAAACTCTTTCAGATGATAGACCTTATAATCAACATATATGCATAAGTTTGGATTGTTCTAAAAACTATATCAGTCTGAAGATAACTCTTTCTTTTATTTCATATCTTTACCATGTTTGTACTAACTCCAATTACCTGAGTTCTCAGTGGCATGGAGATTATCAACATGGGTGGGAACTTTAGCTATCTTGCCTTGGCTTTTAAGTGCCAGGAAAGCCTGGAACGGATCAACATATCAACTCAGGCTTTATTAGTAGGTGAAGTTCACGTACTGGAAGAACGTTCTCCATTTTCTGAAAAGGATACTCCTTCCCTTCACTTTTCACACTAATAACAGGCTTAAGAATCGTAAACCAGGGTCTTTTCCCCCATTGAGAAATCCAACACTTTCCACATCATAACATGCAACTGAATGTGGTTTTCCTTAAATCCTGTGGGATTAATTCTTTTCACTAAAGCTATAAGAATTAGATGAAACCTCTAGTTTTTTGCCTTCTGGTTACGAGATTCTTGCTTTCCATTATCAGTAAACATTCTGAACTATTAAATATAAAACAAGTTTCATTTAATATTTCATTGATTTTTGTTGTTCATTTGTTTTTGATTTTTTTTACTATAATTGGATTGTTTTGTTTTAATGTTGTAAATTGTACATTTGAAAACTGGGGCTCACATTTTTTGAAATAAATAAAAATGCACTTTCATTTCTGTACTGGGCTTTCTTTAGTTTAATAAGTTTTTAATACCTTTATTGTTTGGTGGTGAGCTAGTAATGTTGGATGTCACCCTGGGTGCCAAATTGGGGAAAAGGTAGAACCAACACATAAACAACCAAAAAAAAAAAAAGAAAAGAAAAGAAAAGAAAGCAAGAAAAAAAGAAGCAAACACCTATTAATAAAGCTTATCAAGTTAGGCATTCTGCAAAAGTGACTTCACACGGTCACATTTTATGAGCCAGTAGGATCTTGTACTACTTTTTAACTGAAAAGAAGAAAGATGGTGTGACCTTTATATTCTATATACAAGGTATGAGTTTCTAGATGGATGGGGAGGAGGGAAGGGAAGGTGGGGCAAACATCCTTCTTCAATCTTGCATCACCAGGAGATCCTACTGTCCTGCTCACATGCAGCAGAGCCTTATCTGCTTGAGGTGCCCCAGTCGAACCTCTGCTGGTCCTCCTCCCTCAAAAAATCCCACCCGGACTTTTCTTGCCCGATACGCATCAGGAAGATGCTAGGGTTGTTGCCCAACATCAAAAGGGGTGGCAGTTCAAAAAGGTTTGGGAGCCACTACTCCTCTGTTGAAATACTGTTGAGATTAATTGACAGAGATTAATTGGACTGACCTGGAGAGGAGGGCAAAGGATGATTATCTAGGGTTACTAGAGGCTATGTGTTTCTGTGAGGTCAGAGATACCAGGTTTGTTGAAGAGCTCAGCAGTATTTCTGAGCATCAACATATGTTAGTGTCCATGTAGTTAACAAGAAATCAACTAGAGGTAAGGGAGAGGAACAATGAATTGATAGAAATGCTAAATTTATGATATCTGCCATACACGCCACGATCTCAAATTTTTGGAAAGACAAAACATGGTGGGATCTGGAAATATGGTGGACTTACCAGTTGGGGGCTTGGAAGAGGGGTGAGGTGGGGGTGAGGGGATTCAAGGGTAAGCTAATGTTCTATATTGTAAAGGGAAGTACAAACTAAACCTGTAGATTGGTTACAAAAACTGTAAATAGTCAACTGCATTGATTCATAGAATGTCAAAATTTGTATTATGATGTATTGTTAGCTGTATGATTTAAAAAGTAAATTTATTTTTTTTAAACCAATAAGAAAAAACCAAAACAAACAAGCAACCAGCTATTAAGCAATAGCTCTGTGCAATTAAAAGTTATAAATAAGCAGAAAAGAGTAAAAATTATAAAACTATCAGGAAGGTACAATGAAATCATAAAATTATAGAGTATTAAACAAAACACAGTGGCAATATCAAATACTGTATTTTCTGGCATATAAGACTACTTTTTAACCCAGGAAAAGCTTTTAAACAGAGGCTGGATGGCCATTTGTCAGGGGTGATTTGAATGCAATATTCCTGCTTCTTGGCAGGGGGTTGGACTGGATGGCCCATGAGGTCTCTTCCAACTCTTTGATTCTATGATTCTATCTTCTCAAAAGTCGGGGCTCATCTTATACGCTGGGTATCGTCTTATAGGGTGGGTGCTGAATCTTCTGAGCTGGATTAGAGAATCTGCAATTGCCGCATATGATGGGGGGAGCTCAAAAATGGCCGTGGTTGCATCCCCGCCGTATGTGGTGACCATATGAAAGTAGCAAGGGTGGCGCTGTACAAGTATGGTAGAAGAAAATCCACTCACCGGGATTTGTGGAAATAAGTGACTTAACAACTTAACAGGGTCCCAATGATGAGGTGAGGGGGCGCCTCACCGGAAATGTGTAAGCGAAGGACAGAGCTGGTTGCAGGCATCCAGGATGCCAAGGGTATGGAAAAAAGAGATAGAGAGGTGCTGTGCCCAGAAAAACATGCTTCTTTCACCCGTCTGGCCGCCCTTGTATCCTATTATTGTTCCTCTTTCTCTGCCTCTCAGATCTTGCTGAGGACTACAGTGAAGCGGCGCAGGTGCGCATGTGCGAGATCTGAGAGGTAGAGAAGGAGGTACAATAACAGGAAAATTACCATATTGAAATAAAATCAGATTAAAAAAATATTTGGTGTGCGTTGGAAGAAGGGTAGTCTTATACGGCGAGTATATCCCAAACTCTATATTTTAACTGGAAAAGTTGGGAGTTGTCTTATATGCCCAGTCGTCTTTATGCCGGAAAATACGGTAAATCGCAGAGCTTCTGGAAAAGTTACAACCACCGCCACCTTCTCTACTTACTACATTAAAGAGTAAG